CCCTCCTGCAGTCGCGGTGCGATCGAGAGGGTTTATGGGGGAAAAAAAGGTTCAACGTTGTGGAGTTGGGGCAGCAGGAGCAAGACAGACTTAGAAATGGAGGTCAAAAATGTAGGCAGTGCTGGGGGCACAGTGCAGCTCTGGACAGGAGTACAGGAGATTGAAAATTGTAAACTCCCCCCAGAGAAGTAATGGATCCTCCTCTACAGCTTGAGGCAGATGAAAAGTTAGAAGAGACGGAGGAGGAAAAGAGCAGGAAGCAGTGCAGAGGGGTGTCGGGGAAGGGCGAGGAGGCACTTACTTGTCCTCTGTGTGCTCAGGGACGCCGGCAGCGACCATCGCAGCTCGGTACTGCAGCAGCACACCTCGGACGCTCTTAACAAACCCCTTAGAGAGCGGGAAGAGTGGAAAGCCGATGTCTGGGTAGCCGCTGCCTTCTGGGAGGAAACTCCGGTAGCTCTTTCTCCGTTTCTTTGGTCGTACCACTGGCTGGCTTGCTGTGGAGACTACCCCTCCTCCGCTAAGCGTGGTAGAACCTGATTCTGATGTCCCACCACGGACAGTGCCAGGAACTGTGGAGGGGGCCCTGCTTTCGCCACACAGAGAGGCGTTACCCTGGCTGCTGTCACAGTCTGAGTTCTGGCTCAGCTCCTGCTGAGAGGCTGCTGTGGTGGAAGGACTGAGCCCTGAATCCTCCAGCTCCTCCTCCATAATACTGGTAACTCCTCCTCCGGTGATCCCCTCCTCACCAGGCTTACTGGGGCTGCTGTGGGCCACCACCAGGGGCCCTGTTCCCAAGGACAGCTGCTCGTCAAGAGGCTCCACTGAGGGCGGTCGGTCTTTAGAATGTGAAGCCCTGTAGGACATGTGTGCTGCATGGCCCCTCTCAGCGCCGTCGTTCAGCTCCAGCCACGTCTCCAGGCGGTGGACGAGGCGCCAGCCGTTACAGACAAAGTGCTCCTGGATTTCCTGTTTGAAAACCTCCACAGGATTCTGTAGAAGCTGCGTCATAGACTGGACCATCTTGATCAGGGCCATCTCATTGTAACAGCGGCTGTTCTCATACCCTTCCTGCAGACCTCGGTCACTGTCAAAGCCAGCCTCGTTATAGTAAGGCTCATTCACCAGGATGAGGCCTGCAGAGAAAATACACATGTACGAGCACAAATGAAAGATCAGCAGTTGTTGATTAATGTCTCAAACATGGCAGAGCTGAAAACCACAAGAGTAAAAGACAGACAGAAATCAAGGATTTTGATTTCATTTAAAGTGTAAAAGGTGTCAAAAATGTGCCATGTAAATAAAGCTGCCTTGGCTTGCCTGTACAGATTTCACAGATATAGATTAATATAGATTATAATTTTATCAACATGCTGATTAAACTGTAAAAATTACAAATTCAAAATAAATCATACCAACAAACACCAGCAGCATCAGAGAGGTTCTTTCACTGTGTGATGGAGTGAATCAGTGGTGTGTGTGTGTGTGTGTGTGTGTGTGTGTGTGTGTGTGTACCTTGTATGGAGATGAGGACTTGCAGCAGACTGGACTTGCTGGTCCACCTCTCTGTCCCCTGTGAATCACATTAACCAAAATGATCAAAACAAATCATCACAAATTCTCAGAGTGTTTTCTAATTAGAAGAAAGAGTTGACAAAGCAACATTTCTGCTGCATTTTAGCCTCAAATTAAGTAGATTCAAAGCATAACTGAACTGTCTGCAATAACGGCGCCCTGGCTCTGGAAGCATCTTTATATCCATCACACTTTCCAAGAGTCTGACATGAGGTCCTCAAATGTTTCATTGAACTAACAATCTAAAACTGAAAGTACTCAGTTTATGAAGATATATTTAAAGACAAGCAGAAAATAGAGTTCGGTCCAATCGATTTTTTGTTCACCAACTTATCAATTGATTTGGCTATTCATTCATTTGCTCTACATTACCATTATCTATTACCAAACACGACTTTTCCACTTTAACTTTTGATGACACATAAATTGGATTAAAATCCATCACTATAGACCTGCAGGTTGTCACTGTATCTTTAAACTTCAGTCAACGCCCACCTTGCCGATCCAGGTGCCGAGTAGACTGACACAGACTTTGCCGTTGTCGTAGAGGTTGGGATTGAGGCGGCCGCTGCACTGCGACAGGTAGCGAAACAGCGGCGGCACAGCAGGGTAGATGTTGGGCAGCTGGATGTCAAACAGGAACAGACCATCCTCATAGGGCGTACGAGTCGGCCCTTTGATCAGAGCGGAGAAAAGGTCCTGTGTGGGAGACAGTAAAGAAACCTTTGACTGGATGTGTTTCGACAGTGTAATGTAAAGGTCATCTGATATATAACACTGAGGTTAATGTCAGAGAACATGGTAATAAAAGAAAATGAACATCATAGTGAAGTATCTTACATTCGCTATAAATCCCAGATGCTTTCTGACAAACTGAGGATCCAACTACTTTTCTATGAAAGGCTCACAGATTAACAAAGATTCAAAATGATGTCAGAGGAATGTGTGTATGTGCTGTGTGTGTGACCTCAGTGTCATAATTTGCAGCCAAGTTATTTTTTGACCAGAAACCCACCATGCGATCTTCAAATGTTTTGACCATGATGCCGTCTGGAAGTGACGTTGCGAGCAGAGCCATTTCCTTCCTCACTGTGCTGAAGAACTTCCTTGCCTCAGCCGGTTGAAACTCCATTTTCTTGAATGAGTGGGTGTCTGAGACGGAGATGAGACAAATGTGATTCCAAAGCAATACAGAAATCAAATAACTGTACAAACACAACTCAACTTGTGTGGGAGGGAATTCATCAAGCGGAGACAGACAGATGTGATTACAGAATGGAAATGGGAGGCAGCTACTGTCACTCATAGTAATGTAGAAATTCGAATTGTGGGGTCTTTTGTTTGACGTCTGGGTGCACACGAAACAGGTCTGCTTGCTGAAACTGAAGCTTATACAAAACACGAGTGAAACCCATTTAGACAGAGACAGTCATATGCAACATGAGTGTACGGAATCTGTTTGCTGACTGTTTTTTTATGTTAACGATTTTAGGGTAAGGCAATGATTTACAATGAAAGCCAAATGTTTAAGCAATCAAAAGTTATTGTTATTTCATGTCTGTTTTTGTAAACACTGGCAATTCTGTCAGCTCTTCAGATTTTAAGGAATCCTTTTCAAACATGGTTTAGGTTTTAGGGAACGTTTTTATTTGGCACCTTAGATCTTAATAGGTTAAATAAACACTCATGTCACATCATCACATCAGCTTAGGTCTGTGAATAATAGGAGCTTGTACCACTTGTAACACAGAAAAAAGGAGGTGGGTTAAAAGAAGGATGAAAAAGAAAGAAAAGGTGGAAAAGAATAGAGGAGAGAAGAGAAGCAACCAAAGATAATAAACCCTGATATCTCACCTGGTGCCCACTCCAGCACAGAGAACACCTCTCCCTTGGCACTGGTGAATGTGACGCCGGGCTTGCCTCCGCTCTGTTGGCACAGTACTGGTGTGTCACTGAGAAACTCGCTGGGCCACTCTTGTCCACTTACTGGTGTCTGAGGCTCCTGTTGGGGCTTCTCCTCTCCAGCTCTCTCCACCTGCACAGTAACACAGCTGCAGGTTTGAATACAATATAACGGCAGGACGCACCACAACGTTGCACTTATCTATTTTGATTACACTGGAATAAATCAACTTTGCCATGTCGTAACTCCGTTTAACACAGACCTCTGTGCCTGCTCCTCCACTTCCGCCTGCCTCCACCACAGCCTCCATCTTCTCCTCCTCCACGATGGCTACATTATCCAGCGTCTTTCTCAGGTTCTCCTGCAGCTTCTTGATGTCATCCAGGAAACGTTTCTCCTTGGTGGGCTTCTCCGGGGCAGCGGGTGTCACTGCACTCGCTACGTTAGTTGTGGAGGCCGGTTCGGCTGAGGTCGGAGACGTTGGCGAGCCGGTGGTCAACAGCTGCTCCACAGTCATGTTCTTCAGGCTCTCCAGGATTCTCATGGCTTCTTTCAACTCCCTGAAGCCCCGACAGGCTCCATCTTTGCTGGGCTTCTCCGCTCCGTTGACAGTGCCTGCTGGAGTCGTTCCTGAACAGGCAGAATTAATTTGTGTGTTTATTGTCTTGTTTTAAATTCCACATCACCATCACTCAGTGTGTTCATTAGAAAACCTGCAGTGCTGTCGATAAACCAATGTGAACAAGACAAAACACTAAAACATAGTTATGTTGAATATGTTGCAAACAAATAAATATAAAAATGTAAAAAATATTTGCAACACTTCCTGTGCCTATTTCAAAATAAAAGCACTGTAGCTTTTCTGTTGTCTGAGAAGAGAAAGTTGACAGTAATCCCTTGAAATGAAGAACAAATAAATGCTGTAAGAAAAGAATCCCACCTCCTCCAGAAGAAGGACTGGCCACAGCCACAGCCGCTTCTCCCTCCTCTCCAGAAACAGCTTTAGTGGGGCTGGTGATGCCGCCTTTGCTGCCCTCCTGTGGGGGGATGATGAAGTTTGTGGAGCCAGTGGGCGTCGGGGTTGGGGTCGCTGTGTCCGTGACATCGGCATTGTTGATGTGGCTATCATCCTCGGTGGTGAGTCCGTTATCCGTCTCCCAGCTGTCGCTCTCGTCCTCCCACTCCTCAGTGGACAGGACGCTGCTGGTTTCCTCCACGGAGTCGTAGTCCGTCTCCTCGATCTCAGATTCCACATTATAGAGGTGCTGTGTGTGTGTGTGAGTTAGGAGACTATCAGTGACAGACATCTAACTTCTAAAAGCAAAAATGACACTTAATAGTATGTAGGATAAACTTTTACCTGTGGCAGGACGATGGTCATTGAGTTGTCTGCCCACACCACCTCCACTTTGCTGCTCACATCCACCCTGGACACCTGGCCCACTGACGTCTGAGGGGGGATTGCAATAATAATCAACAAATAGAATGTTTGAGCTTAAAATATATGTTCATTACCCACAGTAAAATGAAAGGAACTAGTGATGTAAGAAATGGGCCTTTGCTTAAAAGAGCATGACTTTGACATTTTGGACGAATACCAAGTATTTAGCACAAAAAGTACTGCAATGAATCCTACATTCACGATACCGTCAGTAAGGTTTCAAGACTTTTTGGTCCTAGGGCAAAAGGGACCAGGAGGCCCTACTTGTAACTAAACTTAGAGTTTTTACTTTTAAAGCAATCCTCTAAAATGATGAAGCTTACAGCAGAAAGTTGGTGACATGGGGCCACGTTAGGAGGTTTCTGACCACAGTGTCATTGCAGTTTCCTGTACATTGCTGATCATAAAATTTAAAGGGGTTCTCACAATATTGTTGTGTATGTGGACTAAAATAATCGTCCAGTCTAAGGGGGGCCCCCTCTCAGCTTGGGGCCCCACGGAATAGCCTGCTTCACCGACTTTGTTGCAACACCCCTGCTGAAATAATGTTCAGTTTGTGTTGAAACACACAGGAAATAACAGGTTTTATTTTCAGTTGTTCTCACTTCATTTTCACAGTCGTTCTCTCCTTTCTCAGAGTTCCATATTCTGATGACGATGTCAGTGGTGCGGAAGTGAAAATCGGGGTGATCTGCGATGTCATACACACTGACATCCTCCTCCAGACCGATAACCTGGATTAAAACAGAAAACCTTGGATCAAGACAAAGACCATCTGCTAATACCATATATCGAAGTTACTATGGTTACCACATACAATTTCACCTTCTTCCCTTCTCTTACTAAAGCATTTTCACTGACGTTAGAGCACAAACAGTCTTGTCTGGAGCTGCTGACTCACCTCCACGTCGTCACTCGTGGAGTTGAGTTTGATCCACTTGACGACACATGTTCTGCCCTTGTGATCACCTGACTGGATCACTCCGTACACTCCCGGGTCCTGGAGGGCTTGGGCTGAGGTGAGCAGCCAAACATGTACACAGTTTAGAGAGCAGCACAAAGGAAACAAATCACACCAGATACCTCTAAATAAAAACGATTTTATCTGGAAAAAGGATTTGTCTGAATGAAACTGGAAACTCCATCTGGCTGTAAAATTGCAGCCTTTAAATATTTTCAGAGCAACTTACAGACACACACAGTTTCAGCACATGACCTAGATACTGTCAGTACTCTGTGGCAGGGCGGCTTTTATAAAACACCTCATCACAGTTCACAGAGTTGAATCCTACGACATGATTCAGAATCTTTGATTGAATAAATTTTTCCTTACATCGTTTGTCTACGACAAAGTCCCCGGGACAAAACTCATGGCCATCGAGGTGCTGGATCGGGATGAGGTCGTTTGATCGTATCCCCTTTTCCACCCGCCCGTCCTTCCACATCACATCAGCCGTGGTCTTTGTGGATACAACTTCTACTGCCACCCTGCACAAACACACACAAACACACAGAGACACACACACATCAGACTTGCATGTTGCTACAGGAAGATGTTCCAGCTTATAGAGTTTGGACGATTTAAAACTGTTAAAATGAATTCAGCTCACCTTCTGTTCACTCATCACAAAAAGAAAAAAACTTTAACAGGACATTCCTGCAGCTATTTTCCCCTCTTCTTCTCTACTCATTATTCTCTGTACCATTTTTTTTACACTACCACTACATCTGTCTCTGTGTTTGCCATGTTGGTTGCACAATCTTCCCTCTCATTGTCCCTTTCTACTTCAATTCTTCCTCTCATCACTTTATCTTGCCTCACTGCCACCCAGCTCTTTGCATCACTCGTTCCTTCGCTTCAGCAAGTAAACTGAACATAGAGAAGAACACTGCAAAATCCAGCTAGTGGAAAAGTCCAAGCAAAAATTGGACATGCAAAGACATTATTTTTCAGTTATTAAGAGCTTGCATCAAATGGGGGATATCCTATTTAAACATATATGCACCTTGTCATTTATATATGCCGACCTGGTTGCTGAGAGCAGGGAGAGTAGATGAATACAAAACCACAGAGACTGGTGCAAGGGGCTTTGTAGGAAGCTCAACATTACACCTGCTCCAAGACCTAGGGCTACAGGGCAAGGAGCTACACAAAACCACTAGTGAGCTCTCAGAAGGGGCAGTGGCGGACAGCTTCTGGCTAAGGCTAAGAGGGCAGGACTCAGGGAGCCAGCAGCTCAGGGAGATGTGTCAGGGAGATGTCTCTGTCACTGCCCTGTCGCTAGGAGATGTTTGTGAATCATCTATGAATGGTGGTCCCTGTCTGATGACCCGGCAGGTTTTACCTGTTCAAGTCGATCTTAATGTCAGACATTGAATAGCTGTCTTCATCTTAATAGCTTGTGATAAAAGCACCATTGCAATTAAGACCAGAATACATGGTAAGTTGTGATATATTGTATATTAAATGTATTATTTATATAAAGTCAGTAAATCAACCCATAAAATCCATTGGTCTAATGTTTACATCTACAGGAGCAGCAGGACACGTCACTTTACAAATCAGCCTTATATCAAAACATGTAAGTTCTCTAAAAGTTGAGTGTATCAATCACTGATCACTGTATAGACACGCAGTCAGCATATTCCTAAATTTCCTTCAGGATCAATAAAGTATAATCTGTATCTACAGAGGATTACAGTATAAAAGATACAGGGAGCATCAGAGAGTAAATTAGGAGATAGTAATGGACTATAGCATATGGAGATAAAAATTAAAAAGGCTAAAGGGAAAAGTGTTGTACTAGTGTGTGTCCCTCTGCTGTTCACCCACCGGTCTCCAGGCTTGAACTCCCGGGAGAACTTGGTCCTCTTCTTCTTGTGCTTCCTCTTCAGGTTGCGAATGGAGAGAGGGATGCTCTTCTTTCGGTTTGTTCCCAGCCCGCCGCTCTGAGACGAGGCTGTGGAGCTCGCAGACGACGTCAAAGAGCTGCAACCACAGGTTCATTATTCAGAAATCTCATTTAAAACATGTAAAAAGAGAAAACAGGATTTCATGTTGCAGATTAAAGATGGTAAGTACAAAAACTACAGAACCTGACATTTATTTTATTGCTGTTATCTGTGGAATCTTTCCTTAATTAACTGATTATAACTCACTCTTCTACACGTTGACAGAACATTTCAATTTGAAACTAGATTCAGCGTCATGTGGTTTTAATGCCTCAGCCAAGCAGTCTAAAACATTTTTTGCTGAAACATTTATTTTTTTTTTGTTTAAAAACCTTTACACGATTATCAGGACTCCCTTTCTGTTGATCAGCTTTCATTTTCGGTATGGCAGTGTTGGATTAGCTGAGTGGCACTGATTTGATTTTCAGGACATTAGACAAGATGCATATTCAGATAATGACGACTTAAAGGAGATAACAATAAAGACACCACAAACTGTGACATAATGAAATTCAGTAACGCACCAGTGATATTTACTATGGCTCTCGGCCAAACATGAGCCTTCAGTCACCAAATTAACAAAAAAAAATTGAATCACTCCCATACTTCAGTCATAAAAACTACTATAATTGATAAGAATAAACTTAATTACAGTGTTACCATCTGTTCTTCTCCCTGCATCACATAAACACTCAGGAAAATAATTTTGTTAACAAGTAACTCATCTTCATTAATCATTCAAATCAAAGCATAATTAACATTGAGAGACTCATGTTGTTAGATTTACACCGTACATCTGTGACTCAACTCTGCTTCGTAAATCACAACCGGCAGAATAATTAGCCACAACTGCTGAGAGCCTAAAGGACAAATCTGTTCTGAGGGACAGAGTATATTCAGTAGTGAAGCTCATGGTATGCAATTGTGCTGGAAAAGTTTTTTTATGATTATTTTGTTAGACTGTATTTTTAATAATCCAACTCAGAATTCTGCCAATATTTCCTCAAGGTCCACAAGGGAAAAAACGTAGTTGTAATACATAGCCCTAGTTCTGTCTTTAGGGAAGAAGGAGAAATGGACGATCAGCAACAAGGGTGTTCGTGCTCATGCATGGGACGGGGAGCGAGGTGGAGATCATTGAACCGGAAACAGTGATTTCCACGGGAACGACCTTAAACAGTATATGCTAAAAGATACGTTAATTCTCTTTCTTGGAGCCATTTAAAAATAAAACATCTCACACGGGATCATGTCATTATTCCTCTGGATTCTACTATTGAGAGATAGAAGGGCGACCTGAAAAAGTGGCCTCAGATAACGTACACATTTACTGTGTTAATGTCCTAACACAATCACATTGAAGACATTTAGAGAAGGGAACAATCTAACAGACCTGGTGTCGTCAGTGTCCTCTGCAGCCTCGTCGTCGGCGTCCTGGTCCCCGTGCTCAGCTGAGGTGTCTGTGTTTTGGGAGTCTGGGGGGTTTGGGATGGACACCACAGGACCGTTGTTATTGTTGGGGTGAGATGAGTCTGTCTGCTCTGATTTGTGTTCAGCTTGTGGTGGACAGAAAAAAAAGAAAATTCAATGGTCAAATACACAGTAACAAATCATCATGAGAAAGTAATGTAGAGGATAATTACAGGTCACTGATGTTCATCCAGCTCAAAGGTAAATCTGACTTCAAATCAACCAAAGATTTGAGACACGTGATAAAGAGCAGGCTAACAGTCACAGAATTTCTTTATTAATCTAATTAATTATTAATCTGGCTGTTATATTTCTGTGGCCTCACAGACAGAAGCAGTCGAACACCAGTGTTTCCCATTAATTATCTTGACTGTGGGAAACACTGCATCCTCTATTTTCCTGGATCATGTAAACAAATCACTCGTCTTACACTTCAGCATAAGTCACAATTAGTCGGTTACTTCTGTGCTGAGCCTGTTTGTGAAATTACTGCCTGATGTCTCACGGCAACTTGAACTCAATCAGCTACTTTAATGTGAATGTAAGCAAAAAAAAAATTTCAAAGATTTTGATGATAAATGACTAAGCACACTAAGATTCATTTTATACCCTCTTTGTTCTTATCGTTTCTCATTAAAACCTCTATTCAACTGCACTGGCTCAAGTCTGTCTCACTGATAACAAGATAGTAACTGACTAATTGTTAAAAACATTTTTCGATAAAGATGCCTCCAATTCTGTAACAGTAGAGTGTTACTGAGTTCACGACAAAGACAACGATAACATTAGGGAGCAGGTGTGTGTGTGTGTGTGTGTGTGTGTGTGTGTGTGTGTGTGTGTGTGTGTGTGTACAGTGTGTTCCTCTGCTGCTTTCTCTGCAGTGTATTGTTTGGTACCTTGTGTGTCAGCGTTCTCCGTCTTCTTTCCTGAATCCTTCTTGAACATCCTTTTCAGCTGCAGTAAACACACACACAAATATAAATATAAAACATGTTTTACAACAGGTAGGAACTTCTTCATAAATGAGAGAATAAATCTTTGCTTAAACACACATGAACAGATAAACGCATTCTATTCGCACCTTTCTGGCCACAGGGTCTTCAGGCAGGACAGCTGCACCCTCTGGTCCCTCACAGGTGATGCGTGTGGCGTCCCCCTTAGCTGGAAAGACGTAGAGGGCCCTCTCTCCCAGCTGCCTCTGGGTGTGGTCGTAGTAGCCCAGACGTCTCACCCTAAACCCAACCAAGAGAATAACTTTAAACCATGAGGAACAACCCACAGTAACAGTTTCTTCTGGTTATCAGACCTCAACTCAAACTGAACCAACCACTGAGAATATTGTAGAATATTATAGTTATACTCTAGCTGTCTAATTTATTTAAATTCTTAAAGCTGCAAGAAAATAAAAGTTAAATACATGATAAAAAATAAACAATGACTAGAGGAGGGTATACATAAATACAGACTGAGAAACTGACCTGCAGAGATTCTCCTGTGTGATGGTGGAGGGAGGTGGATAGACGCTGTCAGAGCCTTTCGGGGAGTAGCTCTTGGTGATCCATGTGACTTTCAGTTCAACCACCTTTACCTGAGGGAAGCACAATGACACCACAGTTTATCGATAAGAGAAGGGCTTTGCACGCAGCAGTCCATCAAATTTACAAAGACAAAAAGAGTTTGTTGATTATATTCATCATTTTCCCTCATCTAACACCGACCTGTGTCAGCACAGTAGCATTTAATAAGTGTAAACTGATTTTATTACCCTGATACCACTGTAGTGATTTTTGTCCTTCTGTGTCATTTGCAAAAACAACAAGAGCAGTCACCAGTGTACAAATACACTAAATAGAAAAAAAGGACAAAATACATCACACACTAGCTCTAATTTGAAGTGGCCACAGTTCTGATTTGCCATGTGCCTTTGTTTGGCTGAGTCTTAAAACCGGGATATGTAGGCCTTTCCAAAATGTACTTCCATTTACACAGTTGGTGCAAATGTGGTGCGTGTAAATGGAATTGAACTGTTTCTTTTAGTAGAGGACCTTGTATTGACTGTGACATTTATTCATTATGGAAAATCTTCCACTGCAGCAGGAAGTGATGACACATTAATACAATGAATAGATGCTCTGAAATTGGTTGTTGTACTTCTCAAACACAATTAATGAAAGTGTAAATAAAGTGTAATATATATCATTATCATCGTCAGTGTTGTTTGTCTTACCTCTTCTACCACCACCCTGAACTTGCACTTCCTGCTGAGGACAGGTTTGACCCCCGACAGCCACTGTACATTAGAGAAGACTTTGGCCGGACCGATGAGGACCTGGCCTGGATAGAAACCATACGCCTCATCGAAGAACAGACCCTGGAAAGAAAAACAGTAACAAAAGAATTTGACAACAAAAGTCCTTTAAACAAATATGGACATGAAAAAGTTTATAATCAGAAATAGTCCTGAAAATTTCATGTGGAAATAATGT